CGCCTCCAGCCCCGCACCTCCATCCCGATGTCTTTCCTCTCCTGCAGAAAGAGAAGCTGAGGCAGCCGCCCCGGCCCAGCCCGGACCCAGGGCCCAGCTCCACCCTGAATGGGCCCAGCCAGGAGGGCAGCCCACCCGGGCCCTGTGGGCAGCGCCTGTGGCCCAGCTCCGCCCTGAAAGGGCAGCGGCGCCAGAGGCAGAGACGCGCCCTGCAGCGGAGGCTCCTCAACCGCCGGCTCCTGATGGCCGTGAGCCCCTGGGTGGGCGACCTTGTCCTGCCCCGCACACATGGCCCCCCGAGGCCCAAGGCAGCACAGACAAGAGGTGCTGATGGGGCCCTCTGGGAGCCACCTGGGGGCTGGGGCTGGACAGAGGAGGGACGAGGGCCCACACCTGGGGGAGGTGGCCCTGTGAATGTGTAAGCTGGGGGCGTCGGCACAGGCCTCTCCTCCAGCTAGTCCCACCAGGGGTGTCTGTGGGGGTGGGGGGCTGCCAGTCAGGAGCAGGGTGCTTCTCCCAGGTCACCACACATGGGGGCACGTGTGCGGGGGCACAGGTGCGGGAGCACGTGCGGGGACACGTGTGGAGGAACATGTGAATGGGAACAATATACGGGGACGTGTGCAGGGCACGTGTGTGGGAACATGTGAGGGCATGTGTGGGAACGTGCAGGAACAGTATGCGGGGGCACGTGTGTGGGAACGCATTTTCAGAAACGCATGGGGGCACACGTCTGGGAACACGTACAGGGGTGTGTGTGCAGGGGCACGTGTGTGGTCCGGGGGGCTGTCTGAGCCCTCTCGTTAGTTCTCAGAGGGTGTGTGGCTTGAGGTGGGGACTGTTGCAGAGGCTTTATAGGCCAGCCCAGGCCAGCGTCCCCTCTGGTGGCTGCATCTTTCTCCTGAGTCGAGCGCGTGTGGGGCGACTGGGTGGGGGATTCCCTGAGGTGGTGGGAGGGACCACCCTGTGTCCCCTTGGCCTATCCCACCCAGTGCCCTACCCAAGTGAAGAGACACTCTGCTGCAGCCTTGTCCCTGTCCCCTGTCCCCAGCTGATGGCATCTGGAGGCAGCTGCAGAGCACCTGCCTGGCGAGCACGCCAGTGTTCACCCTGCTGATCCAGGTGAGAGGCCACGCGCGGGCAGGCAACTGTGCCGTTTGGGGGACAGTAGACGGGACAGTGACTGGGGGACAGTCAACTAAGCGGTAGTTAACGGGGGCGTTGGCGGTCGCACGTTCACCCCTTTATAGTCCAGTTCTCTAGGTTTTGGCCGCCGTGGCTGGGACCAGAGGCCAAAAGGGGAAGCAGAGCCGGGGCCTGAGGGGCACAGCGCAGGGGTCGGACCTCAGTGGTCCCCACTGAGCCGCATGATCACTTAAGTCCACATAAAGCGGTCATTGCCTCGGGTCAGGGACTGCCTGTGGGCTCAGCCAGGGCCTCCGGGGCTCTGGGTCCGAGTCTGAGAGAAAGTGAGACACGGCCGACTGGCGCCTGCACAGTCTCGGCACTGGGGTTGGTGGGGCGGGTCTCCACCCTGCCTCCTCTCAGCTCTTCCAGATCGACGCCGACGGCTGCATGGAGGTCATCCGTGAGAGGAGGACCCCGCCACCCACCGCGCTGCACCGTCTGCAGGTGGGGGTGCTAGGTGGCCCTGTTCCCCCGGCATGGTGCAGGGCTCCTCTGGACAGATTGCCGTTTGTCCGGCCCAGGAAGCAGGGTCTGCCTAGAGGCTGTGTTGCGCTTCCAAGATGGGGGCATTTCCCAGGCTCCCTGTGGGGAGGGTCCGAGGCCACTGTGGCACGGCACCTCATCTGTGCGGTGGCCGCTGGCTGGGGCACAGGACCTGGTGCTGATGACTGAGCCTGCTGGCCACCGCTGTTGTGCCCCATGAGCTCTGTGAGAGCCGTGCTGAGCCAGTCACCTCTGGCGGCCCAATGACCCAGGTCACTGGGCTGAGGACCACGTCCAGCTCCCCAGACAGCCAGGCCCCCACCTTCCCCGTAACCCACGCTGCCCTCGCCCTGCTACGCGGCCCCTCCTGAGGGCACCACTGCAGGGAGTGAAGGGGGAGGGTCTGAGGGCGGGGCCCTGGAGGACTTGGACCCCTTCCTCTGGCACCCACTCCCACGGCCAACGTTCCATGACTGTGCTCAGGGCCTCATCCCCGGTACACACAAGGGACAGGCTGGTCCTGGCAGGGTGACAGAAGATGCCAATGACCAACCTCTCCCTTCTTTTCAGGCGCCCCTGAGTGCCCAGCACTGCCCAGGTACAGCCCTGCATGTTTCTGTCCTTCCATGTGGTCCAGCCGGGAGGCCAGTGGCCACTGGTGACGGGGTCTTGTTTGAGTGAGTCCCACAGCAGGGACAAGTGCCTGGAGCGGGTCAGCCCGGGTGCCGTGGCATGGCCAGCCCAGCTCCAGAAGGGAGCCCCTCCCCAGGCCAGCAGGAGCAGGAGGGCACAGTGGTGGCAGACAGGCCAGGCTTCCTTGGGGCATTGACGGGCCCCGGGGCCGCCGTGCGGACAGCAGGAACAGCAGCTGGGCTGTGGCGCCCAAGCCCCTGCTGGGCCTCCCACAGGGCTGGGAGGGGCCGGGCACCGGGCACGGTACTGGGTGGCAAGTCCACTTGTGTTGTTCGTCTGCAGGAGAAGCTGTGTCAGCTCGAGAAGCTGTAACACAGAGCGCCGGCCACAAAGGGAGCGGGGGACTTGGACCCCTCTGGCCCGAGTCTGCCCCACCACCAGTCCCTTCGCCAGCCCCCTCAGGCCCCCGGCCCAAGCCCAAGACTGTGTCAGAACTGCTTCGGGAGAAGAGGCTGCAGGAGGCCCGGGCCAGGAGGACCACCCTGGGTGCCAGGATGCTCCCCGTCCAGCTGCTAGTCTCCTCACCTGGGGTCCCCCTTCCCACTCTGCACCCAGCCCCCCAAGGACCCCCAGCCACAGGACCGACCGTCTGCAACTTGGCACTTGCAGGACTTGGGGCCCCCACAGGGGCCAGCTCAGGCACTGCTGGCTCTTTGCAGGCGGCTCAGACCCCTGTCAAAGAAGAGAGACCCTGCGCCCTGCAAACCTCAGCCCTCACCCCCGCAGGGGCCAGGAGCTCAGCCCTCGAGACTTCCAGAAGCCCAGCACTGGGCCCCATCCTCAGTCAGCAGGGTGGCCTGGGCCAGTCACAGACCCTCAGCGCATCGCGGAAGCAGGGTTGGCCCGAGCTGCCACCCCTCCTCCCTGCAGCCCCCAGCCCTGCGCAGCTGCCTGCCTTCAGCCTGGTGCCGGCCCGTGTGACAGCCAGCACCACCCTGCCCGTCACCTGGGTGCTCACGGCCCCAGGGCTGCTGCCCGTGTCTGTGCCGGCCATGGTGGGCCTCCCCCAACCTGCAGGGACCCCGGCCTCAGGGCTGTCAGTGACTCTGCTGCCCTCCCCGGCTGAGACTCCAGCTGGCCAGTGCGCCCAGGCCTCGCCCCCCGGAACACCCCCAGCACTCCACAGTCCTGCAGAGGTGGCTGGGGACTCAGTCTCTGCCTCAGGGGGGCCTTCTTCCCCGGGAGTGGCCCCGGGGGCCAGAGAGACTGCTGCGCCCCTTCCACCACCCAAAACGTCCTCCCAGCCCTTGCTTCTGTCCGGCCACCCTGAAAAGGAGCTGCCCCAGCCCAGCCACCCGCCTCCCCATGGTTGTGCTGGCCCAGTGAGCAGTCCAGTGGGGACACCTGGGCTCCCCTCAGGGACAGGCTGCCCCCCAGCCTTGGAGAAGCCGCCCTCACCCCAGCTTGGTCCCAAGAAGGGCACCCTGGACACAAGCCTCCTCTCCCCCGAGGGCACAGCGGACACACACGCGTGGCTGAGGGGGCAGCAGGGGGTGTATGTGCCACCTCTGGGGAGCAGACTGCCCTACCAGCCCCCTACTTTGTGCACCTTGAGGACCCTGTCCAGCCTCCTGCTCCATAAGGAAGCCTTGGAGCGCAAGGCCACTGCCCTGGTGCCCGGCGGGGTGGCGGAGGGTGAGCGTGGGCCCCCGGCCGGAGCCCTTCAGGCGGCACTGGGGATGGTGCATTCGCGGCTCAGGGACAGCCCAGCCTACCTGTTGCTCAAGGCCCGCTTCCTAGCGGCCTTCTCCCTGCCCGCGCTCCTGGCCACGCTGCCCCCGCACGGCGTCCCCACCACCCTGTCAGCCACCGCTGGGCTGCTCCCCGAGAGTGAGGGCGAGGACCTGCGGGAACCCGAGCCCCCTGACGGGGAGGGGCTGCAGGTGAGGTGGGCACAGGGAAGGCCAGCCACGCCCCCCGCGCAGCCGCCTGCCGGGTGTGCGTGTGGCCGTGGGGCGTGGGTGGCAGTGGTAGGGAGTGCGACCCTGGGTGGGTTGGTGCCGGTCCTGAAGAGGAAGCAGCTGGCCGGCTTCCTGGTTGCGGGTGGACTCTGGTGAGGAAGTCAGAAGGGAGGCCCCGCTCTCTGGGCCGGCTCCTGGCCACACCGCCTCATTTGAGGGAGCTGCTGGGGGTGGAGGCTGCTGCTTCCAGGACCCCCAGTTCCGCGTGGGCCCAGCCAGCGGGGGCATGGCCACACCTGTACTACATGGGCACCAGGTGGCTCTGGGGTCACACAGGAGTGCTCTTAAGCTGTTTAGGCAAAGTCACTTGCCTTGTTCCCTGGGAACCCTGAGGTGGCTCCTGTCTGCAGCTCAGCCAGGGCGGGGCTTGTGGCTCGGGCCCCCCTGCAGGCTCTGTCCAGCCTGGGCTGCTGGGATGGGGCAGGCCCCTGTCCTCAGGAGGAGCCCAGGATGTCCTGGGCTGTGCAGGACGAGAGATGCCACCCCAAAGGTCTGGGCACTGGACCCCAAATATGGAGGGGACAAGGCCCTGTCGTCCCCCCATAAATGTGTACAGCTCCCTGCCCCGCCCACTGGGGCCCCTGACCGAAGGGTCCTGTGGCAGGTGTCTCAGTGTCAAGGGCAAGCTGCCGGGGGGGATTGTTAGGGGGTTCAGTGGGAAATCCATGTCACCAGCTCAGCCAAGGGCCCTCCCTTCCCTCACCCCCCTCCCCCAACCTAGGCCAGAGGGTCACCCTTCCCCCTGCTTGTGTCTCAGCCAAGCCCAGGTCAGGCCTCAGCCCCCAGCTGCCTGGACACCCCCAGCGACCTCCGTGCGCTCAGGACGCGGCAAGGCCGCAAGCGGAGGCGGTTGTCCTGAGCAGGTGAGTCCAGGGGAGGGAGCCCGTCTGCACCCGCCCTCAAGGCTCTGGGGCCCTGTCAGCGTCTTCGAGGGCCCACCTCCCACAGCCTTCGTCACCCCAGGGCCCAGACGGTCTCCCCAGCGTTGGCCTGGAGTCTGCCCCAGTGCCTGCCGACCGTGTGTCTGTGGGGTCTGCGGGTGTGCCTGTGGCCTTCTGGGGCCCCGACACCCGCCATCAGGGTTTGCTTGTGTTCCAGGAGGACACACTGGCCTGAAGCCACCGCTGCTGCTCAGGATGGGCAGAGCCGCCTGCCGGAGCGGCCGCCCAGCACACAAGGGAAAGGGCGGACTGTCCTTGTCCGCCCCGCATCCTCCTTGCGTCCTCTCACCACGGGGCTGGTTTGGCCCCAACTGAAAATCTGAATGTTTGGGGGAATAAAGAAACGTTCTATTTTTTTTATTGAAAAGCCAACAAACTACAGACCTTGCTCTGCGCTGTGCTGTCCTCGGGGGAGAAGCCGGGGGTGGGGTGCGCAGGGGCTGGTGGCTGGGCCCCTCGGAGCCTGGGCCATGGAGCCCGTGCTGGGCCGGGGGAGCCTGGGCCGTGGAGCCCGTGCTGGGCCGGGGGAGCCTGGGCCGTGGAGCCCGTGCTGGGCCAGGGGAGCCTGGGCCGTGGAGCCCGTGCTGGGCCAGGGGAGCCTGGGCTGTAGAGCTCGCGCTGGGCCCGGGGAGTGGAGGAGCAGAGGGTTGGTTCACGAGCAGCTGGTCTGCTGGTGTGGGCTGAAGACAAAGAGCCACCCAGGCCCTGCACTTTCCTCACGCTTGGGCATGGCCAGCAGCGGCACAGCCTCTGGGGCCCTTGTCCTCCTGTGCGGCATGGTCTTAATGTCACTTCTTGATTTTTAAAAAAAACTGTCACCATGGAAGACTTCAAACAGAGAGAGGTGGACAGAGCCCATGTGCGGAGCCCTGCGCCCTCGGCCCATGCCCTCATCCTACACCCCGTGCCCTCACCGTACGCCCTCGCCCCGTGCCCTCACCGTACGCCCTCGCCCCGTGCCCTCACCCTGCGCCCTCGCCCCGTGCCCTCACCCTGCGCCCTCGCCCCGTGCTCTTGCCCCGTGCCCTCACCGTACGCCCTCGCCCCGTGCCCTCACCCTGCGCCCTCGCCCCGTGCCCTCACCCTGCGCCCTCGCCCCGTGCTCTTGCCCCGTGCCCTCACCGTACGCCCTCGCCCCGTGCCCTCACCGTACGCCCTCGCCCCGTGCCCTCACCCCGCGCCCTCACCGTACGCCTTCGCCCCGCGCCCTCACCCTACACCCTCGCCCTGTGCCCTCACCCTACGCCCTCGCCCCGCACCCTCACCCCAGCTCAGCAGCCTATGCACAGTGCCGGCCCCTCATCTCACCCTGCCCCAACTAGCGTCACTGCACGCCTGCTCCAGCTGTCACCCCAGGTTCTGTGTGCCCAGTACGCCATTCCCTAATTCTCGTTTTCTCCTGACACGCTCTGACCTGTGGGTTTTTTAGACATCTGTTTGACATCCCAGCACTCAGATTTTCTGCGCATCTTACCTTTCCTGATTCCCAGTTTGAATCTAATGTGGCCAGAGAACATGACGTTTTTATCATTTAGTTCTCGAACACACACACGAGGAAGACACCATTGCCATTCTCGTTACACAAACCGAGGCAAGTTGAGACGTCGAGGGCCTGGCAGCACCTGGCTCAAGGTGCTCGGCTGTGTCGGGGTCGCAGGGCCAGGAGGCAGAGCACAGAAGCCCCCAGGGCAGGCCAGATCCAGTCAGAGGAGGGGCTTGGTGCTGCTCAGGAAGGCGCAGTCAGGAGACACCTGCTCCTGGTTGGAGCCCTTCCTGCAGCCGCCAGGCACCCCCTTCTCGGCAGCCATTGCATCAGCCTGGCCTAAGGCAACTCGGCCAAGAGGACAGGCTGGGTGAGGTGCTGGCCTCTGGGATTCCCCGCGCCCCAGCTGGGGAAACAGCTTCTTCCCAAGAAGTGGCATGGTCCACCCTGCTGCCAGCAGGCCTTCTGAAACTTGTTTGCGGAGGCCACATGAGTCCTGGGAGCCTGTGTCGCTGTCCCCATGTGTGGGTGGGGGAGAGGAGTCGCTGAGTGAGGGTGCCAGAGATGAGATGGCTGTGGAGGGTCGGGGTGATGCTCCTGGAGGGTGTCTGAGCTCCCACAGGGGCTGTGGGGCCCTCTTTGGACCCCACAGTGTAGGCCTTATCCCTGGCAGAGTCCTCCCCCACCTGCATTCTGGTGCTCGGCCCCCAGCTCTGTGCTGCGGGTTCCTGAGATGGCCAGTGAAGGCGTCAGGTACAGAGCATCCCCCGCTGCAGAAGCCTCCGGAAGCCTGTGTCCCGGCCAAAGCTGTTGTTGGACAGTGGCTTCGCCTGGTCCAGCCCCAGGAGGGCCTTTGCTCTCATCTCTACCAGCAGGCACCACGGCCCAGGGGGCCCCATGGCCGGAGGCTGGAGGAGGCAGGAGCTCCAGCACTTTCCTCTGAGAACAGCACTCCCACTTCCCTGCGGGGCACGTCAGGGCAGGCCCTGTCTCCCTGTGGGGAGAGCAGCACCCACCAGGAAGTGCTGGGGCCTCGGCTCCACCCTCCGCCAGCACCAGGCTGCAGCAGCGTCCCCTGAGGCAGAGCCTCAGACGGCCCGCGGGAGGCGTTCAGCGCACAGAGGACCCAGGTAGGCGCCCGCGCCCTTCTGCAGAGGTGCTAGGAAGACACCCGTGGCTCACTGGGTGGTCATTGTCTGGGTGCTGAGGCTCCCTGAACGTCCGTCGGACAGACAGCACCCCTCTCTCTGCCCTCACCCCCATAGCGCTCGGTGAGTGCCTGGGCATTTCAGCCCACAAGCCATGGGATGGGGCGAGCTGGAAAGGCCGGGAGCACCTGGGGGTTGAGACCGTGCTGCCTGTGGTGATTGATGTTCTTATCCAGCCTTCTTCTGCCCCTGGGCCTCACGGGGTGGAGCGGAGGCCAAGAAGGTTCTCAAAGACCAAGACTGTGGCAACCCCACCCTGGGAGCTGGTCTAGACAGGTCTAGAGTCTGGGGACCAGGGGCTTTGCTAGAGGCTGTGCTGAGGGCTGGGGGCTCGGTCCCCACACCCAGGGGCTCTGTCTGAGGCTGGGGGCTTGGTCCCTACACCCGGGGACTCTGAGGCCGGGTGCTCGGTCTCTACATTCCGGGGCTCTGTCTGAGACTGGGGACTCGGTCCCCACACCCGGGGGCTCTGTCTGAGGCCGGGGGCTCGGTCCCCACATCCAGGGGCTTTGCTAGATGCTGTGCTGAGGGCCGGGGGCTCGGTCCCCACACCCGGGGGCTCTGTCTGAGGCCGGGGGCTTGGTCCCCACACCCGGGGACTCTGTCTGAGGCCAGGGGCTCGGTCCCCACACCCAGGAGCTCTGTCTGAGGCCGGGGCTCGGTCCCCACACCCAGGGACTCTGTCTGAGGCCGGGGGCTCTGTTACCACACCTGGGGACTCTGAGGCTGGGGGTTCAGTCCCCGTGCCTGGTGATTCTGAAGCTGGGGGCTCGGTCCTTGTGCCTGGGGACTCTGAGGCTGGGGGCTTGGTCCCCATGCCGGGGGACTCTGCCTGCAGCCAAGGAGCTCTATTCCCAAGCCTGGGGACTCTGCCTAAGAGCAGAGAACTCTGTTCCCACACCCAGGGACTCTGCCTGAGCCAGGGGCTCAGTCCGCACACCTCGGGGAAACATGACCACAGGCTGCTCTGGGAGCATGGCCAGGCCTCAGAGACTCTGCCTGTGCAGGTAGAAGGGCCATGGTGGGGACAGCATCCCCCTGCCTCCCTGGGCCCCTGAGGAGTGGCCAAGAGCCAGGACTCAACCTGAGGGGAGCGCGGGAACGGTGGTGGCCGGGGGCCCAGAGCCTGGAGGAGGTGGTGAAGCAGCATTCCGGGCCACCCGTGGGCATGCCCACGGCCCCTCCCTGCATGCCAGTGCCGGGCAGACACCCCGGTGGCCCCTTCCTGCTGCACCGTGGGAGCACGGTGCAGCTGCTGGAGGGCCGGGCGCCCACCCTATTGCGTCATCACCCCGCCGGCCAACAGAGGGGGCACGGGGCTGGGACAGGAGCTGGCGTGACACAGCCCGTTGTCAGTCCGGGGAATGAGGAAGTCCACACGGCCAGGCTCCCATGGGGCTGCGAAGGCGGGAGGGTCACATTCCAGCCTGCACCCCACTTCCTGCCAGCCCAGACACCACCAGCCCACGACTGCTCGGTGAGGTTTGTCCGGCCGGGGCGGCACCCGGGCCAGCAGCCCCTCCCTTCGAGCAGGGCCTCCACGGGCACAGGACATGGGGGTGCCTGCCTGCCCTGGCATCTCTGCAGGGTGACTGGGGGGAACTCGGGGGCAGACAGAGAGGGGCAGGCACCCCGAGAGGCTGTGGCCCTGTTGATCTGATGGGCAGGGAGGCGGGGGTGAGGCTGCAGCCTGCCCGTCCATCTGCCCACCACCACAGGCCACGTGTCCCCTCCTGGCATGTCGGACTATGAGAACGAGGATGAGTGCTGGAGCACCCTGGAGAGCTTCCGGGTGAAGCTCATCTCTGTTATCGACCCCTCCCGCATCATGCCCTACCTGCGCCAGTGCAAAGTCCTCAACCCGGACGATGAGGAGCAGGTGCTCAGTGACCCCAGCCTGGTCATCCGCAAGCGCAAAGTGGGTCAGTACCACAGCCCTGTCCCGTCGGCATGCCCCGAGAGGCACTGCGGAACCACAGGGGTGAAGTCGTGGGCGGTGACGTGCCAGCCCAGAGTGCACCCACAGGGCCTTGGGGAGACACCCAGCCCCTCCTCCCGCCGGCCCTCTGAGGGCATCCCCCGCCCCAGCGCCTCTGGGCGCCCCTGCCCCGCTCCCCACCAGCCCCTCTGAGGGCATCCCATGCCTCAGCCCCTCTGGTTGCCCCCCCACCCGCCCTGGCGCCCCCACGCTGCCCCAGCCGCCCCTGGTTTCAGGTGTGCTCCTGGACATCCTGCAGCGGACGGGCCGCAAGGGCTACGTGGCCTTCCTGGAGAGCCTGGAGCTTTACTACCCACAGCTGTACAAGAAGGTCACCGGCAAAGAGCCAGCCCGCGTCTTCTCCATGATCATAGGTGGGGGCGGAGCCAGGCCGTGGGGGCTGAGCCAGGCAGGTGGGGGCGAGGTGGGTGTGGGTGGAGCCTGGCAGGTGGGGGCGGGGCCAGGCAGGTCTCCCAGCCTCTAAGTGGTGGGTGAAGGAAGCCCTGGCTGGGTAGTGTGGAGAGGCTGCGCCTTTCCAGGGTCAGGACCCCTCCTGTGTCTCCCGGTACTCGTCACGGAGGGCACAGGCTGGAGGAAGGGGCGGGTCCGTCAGGCCTCTCTTTTCTGACTCGCTGGGTGAACCCTGACTGTCCAGGACCAGCTCTCTGGGCCTCCAGGAGTGGGGGAGTCAGGCCGGGAGGCGGAAGATGACCTTGGAATCTCGAGCCCGTTGGCGGGAAGGGGAGATGCGCCGACGGGCCCTGTGCTCTTGGGGCTGGTGGGAAGCTGCCGGGGCTGTAGCCTGGGCCTCACCTGCCGGCCCTGCGGCCACAGACGCCTCAGGGGAGTCGGGCCTGACGCAGCTGCTGATGAGCGAGGTGCTGAAGCTGCAGAAGAAGGTGCAGGACCTGACTGTGCTGCTGAGCTCCAAGGATGACTTCATCAAGGAGCTGCGCGTCAAGGACAGTCTGCTGCGTAAGCACCAGGAGCGCGTGCAGCGGCTGAAGGAGGAGTGCGAGGCCTGCGGGCGCGAGCTCAAGCGCTGCAAGGACGAGAACTACGACCTGGCTCTGCGCCTGGCGCGCCAGAGCGAGGAGAAGGGCGCGGCCCTCATGCGCAACCGCGACCTGCAGCTGGAGGTGGGCTCCGCCGGGACCGG